GGTTCTTAAAAGAATAGTACATGGAAGACGAAAGCAGTGTTCTGGGGGTGCTAATGATTTCATAGAAATGATACCCTCCTGCTCCCCTTTTCCCAACAAATTGGTGAAAACTACATTTTTTAAAACAGAATCTGATGTTTTACGGCGCTCGCAACTGCATAAGGACATATGAGCGTCAAGGGGTAGAAGTCAACAGACTTACTGTACTCACATCTCTAAATTCAACAGCACAAAGTCTGCTTTGACTACCAAGGTACCGCGGAAATAGCGGGTCACAAAAGTGTGACAAACATGCAAAAGAAGTAGAGAAGAAAAGACGATAGTAAGGACTAGGAAAGAAAAAGCAGCAGTTCCCTGTCGCAGTTCAGGCACAGTTATAAGCATGGTATTGATGAATCAGCCCATTTACAATTCTACTGTGTATAAGAACATGTTAATGTACCCCCCTTTGGGAATGACCTAAAGACACTTCAGTCAGTAGCACCGCCCCAGGGAGTGAAAACTACTTAAAATGACAAGCAAAAATAGAGAGGAGGAGCGTGTGACCTAAATGATAAATAGTATTATTGTATGAATGAACATGTAAAACATTGACATCATTTATTTGTAAACAAGATGGCAAGCGGGAGTATTAGACGAATACATGTAAAATAGAGTTTACAGCACATTAATAGCAAGATTGACAAACTCGTAGTTCTTCACTGCTTTGTGCAAAATATTTATTGTACTTGTCCTTTATAACATATTGAAAAGACTGCATCAGTTAAACGTTAAATCCCAGTGAGAAAGGTCGATATTGTAATGTACCACCTTCTTGAGCAATCCGATTTGTCGGCAGTGTTAGTATTATTTTGAGACGAGGATATACACAAAGATGTTTTTTCTTGAAGATGCTGGGTGGAAAAACAGAACAAAAATTATGTTGAACGTCTTTTGGGTACAACGGTTAACCGCCTAGCATTACACCACAATTGCTGATCGATTCAATCTGGTGAGAGAGACTAAATTTTTAGAAATACGATAAGGAGATACTTTATTAACCCTTTCACTACCACATTAAAATTTACTTTGTTAACTCACTTAAAAGCTTTTACAGTTACGGGTGCCGAAAAGAAGGGACTAAGGGGTTTAACTACCAGGGAAAGCTGTTTCCGTTATTTATATTCTTTTTAAACAACATTTTTTCAAAACATTCAGTACCCTTCAATAAACAAAAGAATTGTTTTTAAAAGTCTCAAACCCAATATGTTATGTAATATCGGCGGCTGTATAAAAGGTACAAAATGCTTAGTAAATTCCGACAATTTTTAAACCCAAACGGCAGGCTGTGATTATTATTTTATTTTTTTTTTACAGATGTCAAGTAAGTAGGCTACTTAGTTTGAAAATACCCTCAATATTCTGGAATTTCTAAGACTGTCAATGTAAGGTGCGGTTTTTATTCGAATTTTGAACGTAAAATCAATCCAAAAGCTGATTTCTCAAACGTCAAATATATTTTCTTAAAAATAACTAGTCAGGCACCAGCAACCACCAGATCTGCACATACATGTTATTTGTCAGCAGAAGTGTTTTGATTGGAATCTGAGATTTTAGGACTCTATTGACGAATAGTCTTTCAAAAAACGTTTTGAGAGAAATGCATTAAAAATGCCACTTTGCTTATTCATTGATAGTTTAATATTTCGTTTGAGACACATTTTCTCCTATTGTAGCAGTTTTGTTTTCATAAATGCACCAAAGAACTGATTCATCTATTTTCAAAAGGATTAAATGGATGCTTTTCAGAAAATCGATACCTTAATAGAAAAACCCCCAATAAAATCATTGGTAGCTAGACTCCTTAATTTTCTTCTCGTGAAATAAATTAATAGCATGCTTCCACAACCTTGTATGACACAGAGTACCAGATGGCACAGTGTCAACACTTTCTTCACAAACACGCTTAGACGCACGTACAATGGCACACCGAGACACAAACATCCACAAGCTCATACCCACAACTAAACACGCAGCTGATATTTTGCATTGCTTCAGAACTCAAAACAAATGACCAAAAACACACCTTGCTTGGAGCGAAAGGCTCAGACTGAATAGAGCGTATGTGTAAGCGTGTTTATTCACTTGTGTTTTGGGTTGAGATGAAGGTATTGAGAAGCGCCTACAGCTATATAGTACGGGATTATGCGTTATTGGAATTATGATCATTTATTATCATTATTATATTTTATTGTCCTCATCACTCTTCATCAGGTATGGGAGAGCATGTCCCAGTCGCGGGCCGGATTAAG